AAAAAACGTGAGTGTGTTTTGGGAAAATTTTAAATTAGTACGATCAATTGTCGTAAGTTCTTACTTAAGCGAATAAAATACAGTGGTTTATATGGCACTTAGCTAAATTAACAAGATAACGCCATGATTGCGTTTGTGTTGACTCGTGGTGTTCACGTGTCGCTCCGTCGAATGTTTCTAGTGGTCATATCTAGAAGCGTGGTTCGTTATTAGTGTTCTTGTGTATATTTCAAACCGTATCAAAAAAGGTGTATTTTCTCAAAATGTGACCGTTTTTTATACAAAAAGCTGTGTTTACAGTCACTGAACTCGGACTGAAAACTGAGCGCAATTATTAACACAATATATGGGGTTATTAAATTGAATTCAACTGATGTCAAATTAAAAAAAAAAAAAAAAACATTTACGTCAGTGCCATCCATCATCAAACCCACCCCGCGCAGAACTAAACCCACAAGGCCATAACACATATAATGATGGCGCTTCCTAATTAACTAATTTGTTTCAATGGACGGAAGGCGTTGTACTTATTGCACTGTACAAAACATGCCGATGAATGATACACGTATTCACATAGATAGAATGCTGGTAGCTGGCATGTACTTAATAATTTGAAGTTCGGACTCGTTTTCCTTGTGACAATTAGTGATCACGTGGTTGAGACTAAAACTAAATGCAGAGATGACTCATTTTACCGAGATACAAATGGTATATGTCGCATTACCAGCTATTTGTTGACATCTTATATCAGTATTAACACTATATTTAGTAATTCGTTCAGGATAAAACACCTCTTTTGCTTCATATGGCATCCCCTCCAAATCAGACATATCTGACTCAAAACTAAATCTGCACAATTTTGTCTGGGCTAACAAATTAAAAACTGATTTGAAAATATGTGACGCGGCAGAAAAAAATAAAGACAGAAAAGCAGGCTGCATGTAACAAGTTGTCATTTTCGTCCACCTTAATTAAAATTGAAGCAGTGATATTTAACACACATGTTTTCAATTCAGAGTTGTTATAAATTAGAAACGAGAAAGAATGTTACTACTCTAAGCTGTGACGCCTTTTTATTGGATTGGCTTACATGCTGACTAATTGGATAGTTAATTAATCTTTTCATTCTTACTGCCAGTGTGCGTACCATATGTACCTTACACAAATTATTACTTGGCTTCGTGGAATCAAGAACAATACAATAACAATACATGACGTCATTCATTTTTCGAGTATTGTGTACATACATATTGTATTTTCTGTTCATAATTTCAGTTATTTCAAAACTAAACACACTGTGTTTACAGTATCAGCTTTTTGCATTTATTTTAATTAATATTTTTAATTTTGCCGGTATACAAATAATAGAATGATCTAGTTTGCCAAGCGATGTGGCGCTAGGATTTTCCTTTATCGTGTTCATTTCCATCGCAGGGCGTATTTTACTATTTTTTGTTAGAATTAATGAAAAAAATCACCCGTCGTTAATGTTATAAATCTTATACTGATTTTAAACATTCCCCATTGAAATCTTGCTGTAGAATGGTAATCCAAACTAAGTTAAGGTAATTATCGTAGCGTATCTTTCAGTTCCAATCTGGCACGTTATATACAGGAATGTACTCTATGTTATCGATCTTCGTCTCCAATCTAATCATATGGTCTTCTTTTTAAAATTATATTTGTTCAATATTTATACATATTTCTATATTAACACATATATTTTTTTTAGAAAACCGAGTGTTTTACCAACATAGATTAAATCAAATCATAAATTGACGTATTTGGAGAGCGTATCCGTTGAAGAAACCGATAGACTATAAATTATATAAGCAAGAATAAAAATGAGCGGCCGCATGTTAAATCAAAACAGTTCTCGTGATTATGAACACAATCTGTCTGGCTTCATTAAATTCAAAACTGTTTCCCGTGACAAATAATGTCGTATTTATTTCCCATAGGGGTGTTTCAAGATTAACAGAAGGGCTTTAGAACAGTTTATATCGACACAACTTAATTTTAACAGAGCCCCGACTTTTTCATAATTGACACTAATATTTCATTTTGGTAATTGATTCTGTTTATTACGCCTTTTCATTGCTACAGCATGTCACTTATTAAGCTCCGGTAATAATAGATTGGGGCGATGTAATTTGATTAATTAAGACGATGTGATGTGGAAGGCAGATGAGGTGTGTCCACAATTTGTATTACTCCGAGTTAAATTAATTGGCCCGATGTTTTAAAATCCCCGTAAACTAATACAGAATTTTTGTAGATTATTAGTTTGATAGCTGCCAGCGTCCATACGTGAATGCTGTGGGTTCTTCCAAAGACTAGCGAGCCTCATTGGTCGTTATTAAGTTAACAGTATAGAAGGTAAAATATCGGGTAACAAAGTTAGAGATTTGAGAGGAAATTAAAATATCATTAATCAAATCTCCCAGTACACGCAATTCTACATATTAAAAACTAGGTTCAAACATATAATGAGTTTGGCGTTATATACTCTGTTTCAATCACATTACTCAAGCCTTGCGTAAAAAGTATTTCATATTATTTAGACATTGCGTGAAATGATAAATATAAAAACAACATATGCACGTATGTATTGCAGTTAGAATCAATTCTCAGAATGAATATAATGTGTAGCGTTTTGATGATAATGATGACGATGGTCATTATTATTATTATTATTATTATTATTATTATTATTATTATTATTATTATTATTATTGTTGTTGTTGTTGCTGGGTAAATTGTTGTTGTTGTTGTCGGGTAAATACTTGGCAGATTTACAATACCAAAGCAACAACTATCAGATGAAGAACGGGTTTTATTCTCTCGGCGTTTCGATCTATTTCTGAATAGATTTAATCAGCTTAGAAATTGGATAGATGGATTATGTTTTCGAGAGATGACAGTCGATATTGTAGCTAGGTTAAACACTATTTAATGAATTTAATCCTATTGAGTCGTCCGGTATGCTAACAAAATCTCGTCCTACGGAAAAAAGAGAAATGAGACTTTGGTCTTCCTTGGTTTAATCCCGACCGACAGACAATTAGCCACAGCTCTTGATTCTAATCAGGCAGACAAAAGCTGCATTTCTTTTCTCATAATGTACCAGGCAACAAATCTGTGTTTTGACAAGTGTTTCTGTAGTAGTGAATCAGCTGAACGTTGCTCTCAGTGTGAAATCTACTTTCCTATATATTTCCAGTGATAGTAATGGAAGGTGTTTTTTTTATTTAGTTTTAAACATAAATTATCGTTTGTTATTTTTTGTCTGTTCTTGTGTATACTTTAGCTCTTGTTTCCATGTTTCAGTGTCACAATAGACGTAATACAACACATCGCGATACTGATAAATGAGTGATTTGATATGTCATCAATAAATACAAACAAAAAAATAAAGTGACTACACAGCGCACATACATTAGTGTTTTATTGGAACTACTGTCTATAAAGCATACTACTATTAGAACTGCAACATTGTGTATCATGAATGGAAAACGTTGTGAACACATGAAATGAGGCAAGTGTCCAACACGCATATACACATGGGCGTATATTAAAACAATCACTGGACATGCTTATGAATGTTTTTTCATTTTTCATTAAAGGAATACTGCTACGCTGCAAAAGCAAAATGTTCAGTTTACGACAAATCATAACCCCATTGGGTGGTTTTCAGCATACAAATATATGTTTTTGTCTAAATTGAATATATGACGATAAAGTAGTATGGAATAAATGTTGCTCAGGTCGTGTATCTCACTGACTTGATCCTTATCTCAGTATGTACCGATGACCTTCGACACGCTGCGGTCGAGTCGGTAGGCGCCTCCCCTCGCCAATTGAAGTTCACTCGATCTCCTTTTGATATGATCTCCCTAACGCTGTCTGACGATTCATTAATTGGTCGGATTAGACCAAATCAAGCATGATTAAGGAATCGCGACCCATCAAAGGAGCAATTTAAAACTGACTAGTTAATCCTCCGTGTCAGGGCGATAATTATTGTTTCTGTCGAATAGAGAAATGGCCCCGCTTCGATGTAGTGAGAGAGTGTCTGGCGCTATCCTGAAAAGACACCGACACGGTCGGCGGAAATGCAAACACGTTGATCTGTGACAAAACCTGAACAAATACAAAACAAGTGGATTTCTCTCTGTTACACATCCTGATCAATTCCCACTTTATCCCTCACCTGTGCACCTGATGTACATTTCATTCGTGCTTCATTATAACACATATCGCCCGTGAGTAATAAAACAGGACTCCTTAAGCCCTTTAAAATAAATATGTGGCAATCATGATGTATACTGGTTTAATGATGTCTTCATGGAAAATGTGTTAACAGTATCCACAAATTCACTGGTGATTCATATTTTACACGGGAATGGGTATCACTGTTACTTATTTTGTCTTTCTTTATTTCCCTTTTTTTTAACTGAAACTGGATAATTTAGATTACATTGGCTTCTAGTTTGATGAACACATTGTAATAAAAATGAATGGGGTGTGTAAAGGTGCGACAACTGTCAGACAATACACACTTGAATAGTAAACCCACAAGTAATCTGGACCATGATTTGAAAACATGGTACTAGTATATTTTTAAAACTTTCTTTGAATTGGCGACATTTAGATAACAATTATCATTGCACTCACACTTATACACATGCGCTTTGAATTACTGGTGCGTATTATTAATTACATATTATGTTTTGATATTAATGAAGGTATGGTTTCAAAACAGGAGAGCCAAATGCCGGAAACAAGAAAACCAGATGCACAAAGGTAAGTTAATTATGTACACGGCGCGACGTTACCACCACTTAACTTTTAAATGACATATAGCACTCTTCTTACGGACGATACAGGCACCAATGTACTCTCAAAGCATTTTCAAATGTTCGTTAATTTCTTTATTGTACGTCACTGGAAACCTGTGCACACTTATCTAACGTTGTAAACACACACTATTCTACGTCTATTTTATTAAATATTTTGAATGTTATTATGGTGGTGATACTCGGAGTTAGTATCTACGAATAAAGCAATAGTAGAATGAAGTGACACACATAGCATTACACGCAAATTAAGGTAGAGATGCAGTTTACCTGACAGCTATTTTAATTAGTTAATTAGGAAACCAAGATGACCTCCCTAGTCCACAAAACTATTTATTTTCGGGAAGCTTAATGTATGCATTTTAAAATTTGAAATATGCACAAAAATGTACTTTTTTGGTCAAAAGTGATTTAAAAAAATTAGCTTCTAAACCATGCTTCTGTTTCCAGTCAAAATTGGTTTACGGGTACATCTGTTTACTATGAAAAAAGTGCCGTCTTGAAAACTGTCTACCAGTTGTCAATTTTGCAGGGCAGCATCTCAAATTTCACTACATAAAGTTTATGCATAAATTAACACCCATGCTAGTTGTATGTACGATTGTTGTAACACTGTTCAACCAAAAACAATGCCCTGACGGCATTTTGAAGATAAACACATTGTCAATCATTTGTGAACATTTCAAAACAAAAGGTCAAAGCGTCTAGGATTTTAACATTCTATAGCCAAGACTGTTTGGATAATAAAAAGCAAAAAAAAAAAAAAAAAAATTCACTCCCATGTGCCCACAAACCTGCATCTTTACCTTAATAACACAAATTGGTGAATTTTACTGACATGTAATTGCATTAGAAATACTCAACTGCGCACGTGTGTTCTTAATGCATAGTCATTACAATTGATAACTAGTGGCTTATTTTATCTATACGCTCCACATTTATATAGAACAGAAAAGTCCAAACGTAGTGACACTCAGTGCACCTGGTATTTCCCATTTTTACAAATCGATATTACGCGACCTTCTTCTACATTCTTTGCTGTCTATACATAACCCCCTACTCCATTAACCAATCCCACCGTCTACTCGTCATACAAATAACACCCCATCCACCAATCCCACCGTCCACTCTCCTTTTAATACCACATCAACAAATCCCACCACCCACTCTCTTTCAAACACCACCCCATCCACCAATCCCACCTTCCACTCTCCTTTTAATACCACATCAACAAATCCCACCTTCCACTTTCCTTCAAATACCAATCTCTCTTCACTCGCCTTCCTCCAATCTGACCAATTACCTCTCTTTTCATCTTGAATCCCATTCTTTATCCTCCAATAACATTGTTTAAATTGTTCACCTAATCTCCACTTAGACGATGCAGAAAAGAGATGTATATTATTGAAT